GCAAACAGAGCAGTGGTCATCCTTTCACACGTGACAGGGAACTTTACCTTAGATGCTCTGTGATCTCTAAGTTGGTCCTCTGGGCACCTTACAAAACGCAGTCCCTCAAAATTCAGATGCAGTTTACATATAATTCACTAAAAGATATAAAAATTACTTGATGCAGCAAATCTGCACTTGATTATGGTCAGACTCTGAAATTAAATCCAGGAAGAATTGACAAGAAATAAACTAAAGCTGGGTGTGGCGTTGTACGTCTGTAATACCAGCTACTTGGGAGGCTGAGGAAGAGTATCACAAGTTTGAGACCAGTCTTGGCAACTTACTGACACTCTGTCACAAAATAAAAAGGGCTGGGGATGTAGCTCAGTGGTAAAGCACCACGGTTCAATCCCTAATACCTAAAAAAAGAAACAAGCTAAGAAGTTATTGACCCTGGTTTGAGCATTTCACGTTGTACTAAGAAACCCAAACATCATTTTGTACCCAATAAATATAAAACACTATAATTTATCAATATATGATAAAAATTTTTTAACAAGAAAATATATTTCATCCTTACAAATAATGACTTAATTCTACCAAGGTAACGGCACAGTGGGCAGCAGGAGGCACTGATGACTTAGGGCTCTGGCAGGTGTGCGCCAAGAGCAGTGCCTTCAGAATCCCAGCAGCTTAACATCAACACGTTGTTCTGCCCTGCTGCTGACCAAGACGCTCTGTCTGCAGAGCCCTGGCTCCAGGGGCCTGCAAACCCAGAGAACCTGATCAAAACACCAGGCCAGAAGACTCTTCAGTGTTAGGACGGGGGCTCTAACTAATGCTACCTTGAAACTGCATTCAAAACAATTCTACAGCACAATATTCAAGAAATCAAAAGGTATGTTTTACCTAAAAAGATGAGTGTTTATAAGTTAAAAGGTCTCTGAGAAGTAACATCTAACTTCAGTCTAGATAATGCAAGCTTTATTCTTGGGCAGTGATATTTCAGAATATAGTGGCAATTATTAGTTTCACATTACTACAAACCCTAAGCATTCGGAGCTACAGTAAGCGCTGTAACTCCGCACTGCTCTGCTGTGCCTCGGCCTTCTCCCCTTCTCTCCTTCTCCACATCTGTACTTCCTTCCCTCTCTTCTGCACTCTTGGTGCCTGGCCTCTCCATGTGAATCCAGCCTGGCACCTCGCCTAGGCATCGGACAGAGCTTCTCCAGGGACTGTCTCTATGCAACGCAGAGCAAAGGTTTGACAAACAAAGTTCACTTCTTCCCTTTTATCTCCTTTTAATTTTACTGTAATCTCTTTTTTTCCTTCAACTTTTTGTTTGGGAGTAGCTCAAAAAGTTCGCAGAAATCTAACGATGAAAATCAGCATGACGAAAACCTGTTTTTTAACCCAGAATCGCCTAATGTGAATACTTCACATTTTTTGCCTGAACCACACACCACAGGCTCACGGCCACACGTCTGTTCTGCCTCAGCTGCTTCCATGTCTGATGTGCCTCCACGGCTCCTGCTGCCCCACAGCGAATTCCACTCCAAGGCCACGCAGACCTGCAGCCCACTCTCCACCACCCGCCGTGTGGGATTTTTCCAGAGAAATTCCCTCTCCCGTGCGCTCCTGGACCTTCTGGCCCCCACGGTGGGCACTGCAGATGCTCGCCGCCTCCTCAGCAATGCCCAGCCTCCCACGCTGTCTGGGTTGCCCCCCACTTCCCAGCTCTGCCGAGTGCCCCAGCCATGGCCCTGCCACGACCCCCAAGCCCTCCCAACCTCCAGAGCAGGTTCCTAACTGCCTCAAGGGATCAGCCTACCTAGGCCACGGCCTCCACGTTCCTCTTCCTGTACCACCATGTGGCAGGTGGAGCCCGCTTTGGAGCGCCCCCCGAGGCTTGCTTCCCTCCAGTCACTCACGCTGTTATGGCTGTCACAAAAGCCAACTGCACAAGTCTTGAAGCCTCCCAACTCACTGCGTGGACACAGCTCTCCGCTGGGAGGTACATCTCCGCCAAGCAGAGTCTCTCCTGGGATGAAGGCCAGAGCACGCCAGCGTCCTGCCTGGAGGCCTGCCAGCCCACCCAGCCAGCCTGGTTCCCCAGAGCCCCTGCTGTCCCCCATGACACCCGAATGTGCGAGCCAGCCGGTGTGTGCCAACACAGGGCCTCTGCAAGCACGGGAGGGCTCCCTGACCTGCTGCTTCCTAACATGCTATCTCCTCGTCCGTCCTTCCAGCCTTCTCCTTCTTGTAGGTCAAGGCACCTGAAATTCTTTCCACTAGAAACTCATTTTAAAAGAGAGGCTAAAATATCTCACATGCACTGTGGGAAGTTCAAGCATTGCTACAGCTCCAGGCAGCACGAGAAGGGTCTGAGCAGAGCCCACACCTGCGCGGGCGGAGAAGAGCCCACGTGGAGCCCACACCTGCACAGGCTGCAGAGGTGATGGGACAGCCGCACTGTGAAAACGTGCAGCACTCACTGGGCAACACTCGCAAGGCTCCTTGGCTTTGTGGTCTCCTGCTGCCCCCAGGGGACTTCCAGTCCAGAAAGACTGATTCCAGGGCTAAGGCTGGGGCTCAGTGGTAGAGCACTTGCCTCACAATATGAGACCCTGGGTTCGATCCTTAGCACCACATAAAAATGAATAAGTAAAATACAGGTATTAAAAAAAAAAGAAGACTGATTCTAGAAATGGCTGACAGACTTACCTGCAGTGAATAAAAAACACTGGATGACACAGTCACTCAGAAGCAAGTCTGCCTCACTAAGACAGCCAGTGATTGGCACACGGTCGGTCACAGAACTGTGTCTGGCTCATGGGGACACAGAGTGGCTGGGGAGGTACAGGCCAGGACCAGCAGGCAGTGCTGCCATCTGCAGGGTGTGGCCCGAGCAGCAGGACCCTGCCGTTGCGTGAGACGGGGAGACTGCTATCAGAGCTGCACCCGGGAGGCTGTCACATGGACGGTGGCACCCCCTTTCTCCACTGAAAAGTCTTAACTGGGCCTCTCCAGAAACCTTCGCCCAGCTGGTTTTAGGACTGTCAGCAACAGAGCCCAATGTAGCCAACCTTCCTACTTTCGAGTCACCTGTTTACTTGGCCACTGGCCGAGAAGATACCAGCACTCCAGGTGCTAAACACGCCCTTACTAGTTTTCACAAACATATTCAGTATAGTTCTTTGAAGAAGTGTGCAAAGAAGGCCTCTGGCCTTGAGCTGGGCTTCACAGAGATGTCTACATTTTTAAGATAAGTTACAAATGGGCTCCATGGTAACAGCTGGCAGGGGGAGGGAAGAAGAGGAGAAGCAGCTCTCCCCTTCTCAGGTGTTGTCCTTGAAGGGTTAACGTGCCCAAAACAGTGAAAGAAAAAGCTGTGAACTTCTGCAGACTGTGAACTTCTGAGCCCCTCCCCTTACTGGGTATAAAACTCTGAAACTACCTCAACTTGGGGTTCAGGGGATTGATTGATTACAGCAAAAGCTGTGCCCTCTGAGCCTGGCTGCAGCCAAGTACAACTGTTTCCTGATATCTTCGGTGCCTGGCCTCGTTTGTCCCTACAACACCTTGACTAGGGGTTTCCTCTGATAATATCCATATGGTGAAAGAAAATAATTTAAGGAGTTATCGCGCTCAACCTGGGAAAACCCCGCCACAGAAACGGTAGGGAGGGCTCAGGCGCGACCTTCAGCAGCACACACCGTTCACAGCTGTTTGCTTCTGTGGAAAGCCTACCCCCCTCCTAAGTTCTGAACCCCGAGGCATGTCCCTGCAGCTCAGGCAGTGCTGTGCCCAGGTCCCTTGGGTGTCTCCCAAGGCAACCCACAGCTGCCAGCATTCCAGGATCCGTTCCCAGCCCACGGGCCACCACACAGACGCCCACCACTGCTCCCCTGTTCCCAATCTCAGCTCGTCCTGAAGCTGCCACCGACCTTCTCCCCATGTTCCCTTACCCCTAACTGGAGCTGCTGCTGCCGCCCCTGGCTGGCCTTCAGTAGGCCATGAACCTGCACTTTCTGCCCTCCCCTCCCCTCCTGATGCCCAGGCTGCCTGTGAGACTCGCAGTGGGACGTGAGCCGGCTCTCCACACGGCACCTCCACCTGCCCCCATGAGCCTGGACCCAGTGCTGCCCAGGAAGCCACACCACGCCAAGGACGGTCAACACCTGAGCTCTCCAGTAGCCTCACAGTGTGCCTGACCCAGATGCCGACCCACCCACCTACCCGATCTTCTGCCTGCAGCAGCTGTTCCTGCTCCTGCTCTGGCAGCCTTCGCCCCCGCCCTGCTGGCCCACTGCTGCCCTCTCCGACCCCCGGCCTGCTGGCCCATGCCTACCCTCTTTATCCTTATTCCAGGGGAGACCTGGACACTCTGTCTCACATGCCTGCTATTTTGAAAAACGGGGGATGGTAAATCAGAAAGACCAACAGTCCTTAGGCCACAGCCCTGAAACCAGAGGGTCACGAGCTTCCCCTTGGCAAACACAGAAACGTGCCTCTCGGGGAAGGGTCAGGTGGCAAAGGCTGCTCAGAAGCATTCCTGCCATGGCCAGTCCAGCCTGGGAGATGGGGCTAGGACCACAGCAAGGTTCCCAGGACCCGTCACACAGGAGCCCAGTGCAGCTGCCACCAGGGAAGAGAGTTGAGCATTTCATGCCTGAGCCAGCTGCTTAGGAGGCACAGAGACGTGCTGACAAGCACAGCCAGGAAGCCGCCAGCGGGGACACTGTGCTACCAACTGCAGAGACTGAAAGCCAGAGCCACGTCTGGGCCACAGGTGTAAAAACCACAGCGACAGAGCACGTAGACGTAAGAAGGTCGAGTCTCCTTTTTACTCCTATTACAACGTGACACGTAAACTGAAAAAAATGCATTATTGATATTTCAAACTTATCTTAAGATAATTTTTATAACCATATAGGATTTTCTTTTAGGTCCATGGTAACAGAAAACATTAACTAATCATGTCTTACTGCAACTCTCACAGACTAAATCACACTCACCTTCTGCGTGGCGTCTGCTCTGGTGGGAGGTACAGTCCGCATGCTCTGCGTGTGGGCTGCTCATCCTGATCCGGTCACTAGAAAACAAAACACGTGTGGAACACGGGGTGACTGTGGACCCTGGTTTGATCTAAAGGAACGGAAGGAAGGATCATGGTGAAGTCCCATTCCCCGCGCTAGGTCAGGGCCCAGGGTGCTCCATCCAACCCACACCTCAGCAGGCGCCAAGGCTGGGATCACCCTCAGCCTCCAGCAGGAGATGGGGCGCGGAAGCAGACTCAGGAGCCCCCGCTGCAGAGGCGAGGCTGCACGTCCCCTCCTCCCACCCATCTGGCCACCTCTCCTGAGGGGTCTAATAAAATCACTCCCCATGCAAAGCTTCCTTAACTCTTTACAGAAATAATCTTTTAATAAAACCCAAGTGGCTGAATTCTATGAAACCCAGGCGCCAGGCAGGGCTGCGTCCTGTCACAGTGGTAAGGAGACGACTCTTCCAGAACTAGTCGGTGACAGCGAGAACAGCCCAGCTCTGAGCTGTGTTAGAGACGAGATAACCAGGCTCGCAGACTTCAGAATTAAAGCTTCGACTTATTATAACCCAGGGAGCTGGGGCTGTGGCTCAGTGGCAGAGCGCTCGCACAACGTGTGTGAGGCACTGGGTTCGATCCTCAGCACCACAAAAATAAATAAATAAAGGTATCCATCTATAACTAAAAAATCCCCCAACAAAAATAACCCAGGCAAGACCCACAGAAGAAACGCACAAGGAACAGGGATGGAAGCACTGGTACATTTCCATACTTTTCAAATTTCCTAAAAGTAAACAGTTCTTATTTCTGGAGTCGGTAACTGCCTACCAAAGCCCGGGGTCCTCAGCGTGCAAGAGGAGCCAAGCCACGTTCTCTGTGTTCAGCTGCTGTTATGCTTAACTCACCCCAAACAAATGGCCTCACACCACGGACACAAGAGGGTGGGGGGAGCCCCGGGTCTGTTACCTGCAAGTCCCTGCTTCTCCAGCAGCACCGCTGGCCACTGCTGGGCCACCCCCGTCGGCAGCTGCCGCGTCCAGGCTGGCAGACCCGTTGCTGACGTGGTCACTGCTTTCATACCCAGACTCGGTCCTCTGCACCTGCCAGCCATCACCAGGAACCCCACGCTCCACGGGGCCTGCCCTGCTCTCTGCTCCCTTCCCGCCAGAGTCCAGGGAGCTCCTGCTTCCCGTCTCAGGCTTCCCTTCGTCCTCGTAGATGGTCACCAGCCCTTTCTGCTTTGTGCTCTGCTTAGACCAGCTGCCACAGGTCTGCTCCCGGGCCCCCTGGGGTCCATGGCTGATGTCCGCCTGGCGCTGTGGGCTGTGCTGCCTCTTCCCACTGTCACTGAAAACGCTGTCCACATTCAGGGCCTCCCTCAGGGGCCTCCACCCTCGGCCCCGGCTCCGGCTGCGGCCACCATGTCTGTCCCGAGAGCTCTGGCTGCTGTCTGGGCCACACCCAGCACCGCTGACCTTGCGGGCCGCTCTCTCTCCTGGAACAGGTGCCTGGGACTTGCTGGGACTCGCTGTCTGCCCAGCAGCTCGACTCTGAGAGGCCACGCGCTCCTGTCTACAGGGCCCCTTCCCTTGACTGTGGCAGAGCTGAGCGCTGTCCTGTCGCCTGAAGTCACTGGAGGCAGGTGGTGACCCGGGCTTGACATGTGAGAGCTCCTCATCAGACAGACCTTAAAAAGTGACCACAGGCAAAGACATGAATGGACCTCCCCACGCGGCAATGCTGCAGTCACACGCTGAGGACCCTTCAAAAAGAAGCGCTAGGTGGTTGCCAGGAGGACGGAAGTCAGTCACAATCTGCTGTGAGATTAAAGGACTTCAGCAGTGCTCCTTCATGCTTACTGAGAAGCACTTGAAAAAGAGATGGACTTTAAAAATGGCCCACAAGGGTAGAGCGCTCACCTAGCACGTGTGAGGCCCTGGGTTCGATCCTCAGCACCACATAAAATAAATAAATAAAGCGCAGGTATTGTGTCCTTCTACAACCAAAACCTAAACTAAAAAAAAAAAAGCCCACAAGGCGGACCACAAAGAAGTTTTTTAAAAAAATATCTCACAATCAACAAAAGTCCTAATACTTTCCATCTCACACACTGCAAAGCCCCAAATATCTAGCAAGCTGCTGCTGCTGCTGCTGCTGCTGCTGCTGCTGCTAGCAGAGATGAAGCTCAGGCCAGTGTGCAGGCCGTGGGGTCCGGGGGCAGTGCAGCTGTGGCCGCCCACCAGGCCAGGCAGAGCTGCCATGGCGACTCCCCAGGTGCCACACCCGGTGACCAGCACACAAGGCGGCAGGAGAGCACCTGTGTGCGTCTGTCTGCACCAGCTCAAGGACGCCGCGTCCAGAAGGAAGAGCACAAGGCCAGAGAGCAGCCTGTGAGAGGCGAAGGCCCGTGAACACAGGGAGGGCCAGAGCCGTCCCTCGTGTAACCCCCTCGCAGTCTCACGTGCCACATGAGGGAATATGTTCCCTACAAAAGGTGAAAACATGGAAACCAGAACACTCAGCCCCAGCTTAGGCGTGAGTGGGCCTTCTAGGCTCGGTACAGGTGTGCTGAGAAACACACCGACACACAAAACGTGCACTCAGGCGCTGGTCCACTGCCGTTCCCAAGCTACAGAATTCCATTTCAGAAGGAGACTTCGGGCAGTGTCTTCAAGGGAAGGGCACACCTGGACTCACCTCTGTGCCGGGCCGTGTCCTTCCTCTGTGTCTGCTCGAGAACTCTCCACTGGGCAGAAAGCAAGCTTCTCTGCCGCCTGGCTCTCAGAGCACATTCTCTGGAGAGGTCTTTCACCTTTTCCCTTTGATCACCATGGCTTAGCTTAACTGCAAAAGAAACATCCTACAGTGACAGATCATTTCCAAACTGTTCAACAAAAGTGAACATTCAGCTAAAACTGCTGATCCTGTATTTAAAACCACCACCTCAAGTACACAATGAACTCATTTTCGGCCTAACTACACACTTGCTGACTTCTCCTGCCCCCTGGAGACAGTTTCTTTCAACACTTCTGAGAGAGACCCTGGAGTGAGTGAAAAAAAAAAAGAAACGTGCCACCAAAATAATAAGGACACAGGTGACCGCCTGGCCCCCCGCTTGTGGGCACAGCTCTGCAGGTCTTGCTCTCTGAATTTTTTGAAATGGGCAGAGTCACTATCCCCATTTCAGTTAAGGAAATGGAGCACTGAGAAATCAAAGCGAGTCCACATTCCTACAGCTCGAGAACAGAGCGTGGACCAAACTTAGCTGCTTCAGCACAAGCCCAGGCGGCTAACGGAGGTGCCCAGGAGAACCAAAGGACACGAAGACCACACCATCCTGACCACAGAGAAAGGGTTGGGGGGAACCCGGGCTGTGCTGTGGGTCAGGGCTCCCAGGACCACCCACGGAGGACTCCAGGTGCCCCCTTCCTAGCTGAAAGGCCACAGGCACTGGCAGACATGACTTCATCAGCATGTTTAGAAGGTGCTCCTAAGTCCCCCTCAACGCCCACATGACTCGGTTTTCCTATTTCTAAATCCTAACTATACATAGTACAGCAGCAGCAGCAGCTTGCCAGACGTTTTACTTGGGACAAAAATTGCAAGACGTGCCTTGTGGGAATCAAAATCATGGATCACGACAAGCGGGAGTGAACACAGGCAGAGTGATGTGCACCTCCTCGGCTGCACTCGCCAACAGCACCTGAGAGCCTGGCACACCACTGTCTGGGCCTGGCTGAGGAGGGCCCACTCACAGCTGTCCAGCAACTTGCCAGTCTCAGCTGGCCCCAGCCTGGAGTCTGGCCGCCAGTCTCTCCAGGGCCAGGAAGGCCAGCTGAGCACCATGCACCATGTCTCAGGAACTCGGTGAGAAGGATAGGGGAAAGCAGAGGCAGAGGGGCCACCACATACGTACCCGCTCCTCTCCCTCCGCTTGCTTGAACGGGGCTCCGATTAAATGACGACACCTCACTCTGAGGGTTCTGACCTCCTCTCAGTTCTCCGAGACCGTGACCGGTACACTCATTTTCTTTGCAACTATCTGACTTATGAATTGTAGACTTTTCACATCCTTAAAAAGAGAAATAAAAATGTACCATTTTCTTCCTTTGCATTAGGAGAAAAGATGCTGGCATCACTTTTTTGGGGGGTGGGTACCAGGGACTGAACTCAGAGGCGCTCCACCACTGAGCCACATCCCCAGCCCTATTTTGTATTTTATTTAGGTAGCTTGCTACCTCACTTTTGCTTAGGCTGGCTTTGAACTCATGATCCTCCTGCCTCAGCCTCCTGAGCCACTGGGATACAGGCATGCGCCCCCGTGCCCAGCTGCCTGCTCACGCCTGCAGACACTGCTAGCACTGAGGGCAGAACTACTTCACACTTCTCTGCTCCACACTCTGGAGGGCCCTAGGCCCCGTCTACCCAATCACCAGAAAGCTCAATATTTACCACTAGGAGGCGCTACCAGCGAGGCAGCCTAGGCACCTGTGACCAGGATAGCAGGTGATCCTCCAGGTGCCCTGGGCCCACTGATGATGGTGGGTGACCCTACAGTTGCCCTGGGGCCACGAAAGGGAGTGTGGGTGACCCTACAAGTGCCTAGGGCCATTGACAGGAGATGGTGGGTGACCTATAGTTGCTCAGGGGTCACTGACGGAGTGATGGGTGAACCTACAAGTGCTCTGGGCACTGACAGGGGATGGTGGGTGACACTACAGGTGTTCAGGGGCCACTGATGGGGGAAGGTGGGTGACCCTACAGGTGACCTAGGGCCACTTATGGATGGTGGGTGACCCCTAGGTGCTCCAGAGCCACCACAGGGTAGTAACCCCTAAATGGGACCAATGACACACAAAGGCTCCTTCTAAAGGCTACAAAGGGCTGGGTGTGGCTAGCGGCAGAGCCCTGCCTGGCATGTAAGGCCCTGGGTTCCGGCCCAAGCACTGTAAATAAGAACAAGCACACTAGAAGGGCCTGAGCCCCATTACTGAAGCTCAATTTTCAAGTTATTCTCTCCCCCACCCTGCCTCTCCACACACACACACACACACACACACACACTGGGGACTGAAGCCAGGGATGCTCTTCCATTGAGCTTCATCCACAGCCTCCACCTGCCGTTTTTAATTTTATACTGACAACAGAACCTTGCTAAGTTGCTGAGGCTAGCTTGAACCCACTATCCTCCTGCCTCGGCCTCCTGAGTAGCTGGGGCCATAAAAGTGGTCACTATACCCGGGCTCAATGTTCACTTATATCCAGTATAAATATTCCTAGTTGATTCTGATAATAGAAAAACACCAAAAAGTTTTTTAAAAGAATTACCCATATTTTCTGCAACAGATTTGTAATGTGACCAGGTGACCACCTGCCTGAGAGCATCTTCAGTGGAAACTGCCGTGCCATCTGGGTTGGCGTAAAACAAGAGCAGCGGCTGGAAGTGACCCCGGGTGCATTTGGAGACCACATCTTTCCACCTGGCTCCAACCTTTGCAGAGCGCAAGGGACAGAAACAAAAGGAAAGCCCGTGGTCAGCGAGAGCATGGAGCAGGAGTGGACGAGCATCTCAAGAGCACTGCAGGCGTTCTGAGCCAGCAGCCCCTTGGCATACCAACCAGCATCCTGCAAGGAGGACACATAGAGGGCGTCATGCCTGTTCCTCTGGAATTTGACGGGGTGACTCGATAGGCTTTCTATCCGAAGAGGTGGTATTAAAGTTTAAAAAGATTTCCATGTAAGTGGCTGATCTTTTTTTTTTTTTTTTTAATCACTGCTGCTGTATCTCTTTTATTTCCTGGATGGGAAATAAAATACATCCTCAAATATATGGAATAAATAACACCTTCAGGGTTGACTGGTATCCTAGCATATGTGACACTGCAAGTTAGGCTGACTGACTTTTGACAAGGATTCAAGGCCACTCGGTGGAGAAACAGAAGCAGGTCTGCTCCACAAATGGGGCTGGAAGCTGGACAGCCAGCCAGGGGAGAAGAGCTCTGGCCCATTGCCCCAAGGAAAAACCAACTCCAACTACAAAACGTCCAGAGAAAAATAACTGAGAAAATCTTTACAACATGTGGACAGCAAAGATTAGAACCAAATGAACAGTAGAAGAAAATTTTAACAAAATGGACTTTGTTAAAATTAATTAATAACTTCTGCTCTTGCAAAGACACACTGCTAAGCTTTAAAATAAGCAATAAAAATCTAATAAAGAACTGGTGTAGAGAATAAAGAATTTCTCCAGCTTATTAGTAAGAAGACAATCCAACTGGAAATGATTTTTACCAACAGCCTTAACACTTTTCTAACACCTGATAGTGTAGATTTTGATCAACAGCCTTGGTATTTTCCAATACCTGATTAACATAGATCAGTGCCCCTACCCAATAGCTATACAAGCCCCTAGACTAGTGCACTTAAGTGGTAATCTGCTGTCAGATGGCCCCCTCGGGCCCCGCCAGGCTTTTTTCTTCTCACTTTAAATAAATCCTTTCTTTCATTGTCTATAGATTTCATTCTTTGAATTCTATGAGACAAGAATCCAAAAAGAAACCGGTGATAGACTACTGGGGTCTGCTTCAATCCCAACAGGCACAGCCCAACACTGTGAAGAATCCGGCTCTGCTGGCTGTGGCCGGTGGAGCTGGCGCCAGCAGGCGTTTCCTGCTGTGACTGGCTGCCAACACCAAAGAGCTTTCTCAGCCACAGAGGTCTTCGGCTTGTGCAGAGGCAGAGAATCTGGTTTCATCTCAAACCCGGTTTCACTATTACTTCATGTAATAATTCCATCATTTCGTATAGTTATATAATTTATTCCTAAAAAGAACTATCAAAATAGTTCTCCCAGCTAGTGAAAGCCTCACCTCTTTCACATTCGCATCATCAAAAAACACCCACTTGGAGCTCTTGGTGTGGAAGGCGAAGGCACAGTAGTGCCGGCTGGCGTAGCAGATCAGGCCCACCAGGTGCAGCTCACTGCTCCGGGCGCTCTCGTCAGTGACCCTGTAGAACAGCTGTTGAGAAACCGGTTGGCAGTTCACCACTAAGTCCTAGGACTCATGAGTCTGTGGAGACTGCGCTCCATCAAGTGCAGGTGGTTTGTGCAGGGCCAGCACATGGCCAGCCCTAACAGACAGTGAGCTCCATCGCACTCCCGGCAAACCACACATGTGAACATACGTTAAAGTATTTCCTGAAGTACACCTATCTAAAATCTTAACTACATAAACCAGCTGCAATATATTAAGAGAATAATAGT